GGGATAAATAAATAGATGAACCTATCAACCAGATTCCAGCACGACTTGATTCCTGTCTTCTAGTTTAAGAAAGGTTCTTGATACCATCACATTTCAACCAATACATTCTAGTACTAAACACTTCGGGGAGGGGGGATCTATTCATGGAATTTTTACCCCCAAATGTACATACACTTCTATCAGATTCTCAAATACAGTGAAAACTTGGGAACAAGATGTTTTTTTAATCCCACTAGAAATTCAGCAAATTCTTAGGAACAAGGCATTTTGAGGTGAAAAGCCCCATCACTGTCCTCAAAACATCATAGGCCCTTTCTCACCCCCAGCCACCCTGGGTGAGAGAGCTTCCACAGCCCATCTTCTTACCTCTACCTTAGCTCCCACCAATTACCTCCTGTGTTTGTCTTCCACACGTCAATTGCTACAGGGCTTCCAGTTTTAGTTGTACCACCAACCCCATCCCTGCTTTGTCCACAGTAAATTTTTATACAGTGCTTCATAAGCAATATTGAAATGAGAAGGGGAAAGGCAAAAACTGATCCATAATAAAGGAAATACTAAGTCCTTTAAAACTGGTACAGTGCTATAGTGTATAGAGGGAGAGGTTACAAATTTTGGATATTAATTAGCATTCATGGAGAAGGTAAACTTTGAGATGGATTATGAAGAAGAGGCAGGTCTTTGACAACTACATTTTTCTAAGAATGACTGTTCCATGAGGAACCCATGTGTGCAAAGGCAAGGAGCAAAAATTCAGAGGCGATGTGTTTAAGAAGTATATGTAAATGAAAAATAAAACTGAAAAGGTAAAATTGGAACATATATTGTAAAGGTTTCAAAGCAAGGAATCTGGGCTTAATTAAATACAGTTGGGAACTTGTACTTTATTTTGACCAAAATTATAACAAGTCTAAGCTTCTATGCACCAAGGAATTCATAAACATACTGAGTTACTAGTTTTTAAAATAAGTACACTGAGATACAAATTAGGGACAATTATGCTGTTTCTTATTTCAGGGACAGACAATTCCTAAGACCACACTAGGCCTACATTCCTGTAAGCTTTTTAAGAATGAAGTTATCTGTTACAATAGTAACAGTAGTTATCTCTGGAAGATGAGACTTGCCTTATTTTTTTTTTTTAATCCTCACCCAAGTATGTTTTTTATTGATTTTAGAGAAGGAAGGAGGGAGGGAGGGAGAGAGACAGACATTGATGTGGTTGCCTCCCATATACGACCAGACTGGGGATTGAACTTGCAACCTAGGTATGTGCCCTGACCAGGAATCAAACCCTGCAACCCTTTGGTGTAGGGGACAATGCTCCAATCAACTGAGCAATCCAGCCAGGGCTATCTTCTTCTTACATATTTCCTACAATAAAAATATTTTTGAATCAGGAAAAGCCCCCCAAAACTAAGACTTTCCATTTTATTACATACTGAACGCTGAGGAACTTATGATTGTAAATGAGAAATGAATTGACATGTCATGATCAAATCTTTGAAGCCTTGACTTCAAGGGCATTTGAAAACTGCTTCAAGCACACAACTGGATATCATAAATAAGCAATTACATGCTAATTCTGCCTATTTTGGACAAATTTGGATCCTGAGTTGAAGATTTAAGTAATCAGATTATGAATTAAAATAAGACATCTAAAACTGGAAGGTCTAACAAATCATGAGCTCCTCCATAATAGATGACTTAACTATTAGGAGTACTTTGGCAAAATAGAAGTTTGAGTCAAAGGCAGTGTGGTACAGTGGGTTTGGGGTCACACGCCTGGACCTGATTCCTAGCTCCAACATTTAGCACCTGTCATTTACTTGAGCATGTCATATAACCTCTGAACATCAGCTTTCTCATCAATAAAATGAAGACAACACCTATGCTACAGGATTATGGTAATGACTAATACTAATGCATAAGCCTGGCACATAGGTTCTCAAAACACAACTTTTATATACTTACTCCTACTCAAAGATCCAGTGATTATGATTAAAAGCAATCATATAACTTAACTAGTTTAGCAAGATAACAGAAACAAAAAGTATTACAACTAGAAAACTAGTTTTTCCTTATCTGTATTCCGAGTAGTAACACCAAACAAGATATACCATTGCTTCACCAAATCAAGATTGGCAGTGCCCCCCTGCCCAGGCCAAAGAAATAGGTGAAGAGAGAGATCGCAAGAGTAGAACATGTAAGGCAGGAAGGCAAGATAGAATAGAGATAGAATAGGCCCCAAACTGGAAATCAATACTGCTGCCTTTATCCAGGTAAAGAAATTTCAACAAAGGAAAAAATAAATGTACCAGAAATGTTAGAATCTCTAGTTATAACACTATCTTCCTTATTCACAGAAAATTCAACTAGCTCAAAGTTAGAAATGTAATGGGAGTTGACTGGTAAGTACACACTTTACTTCCTAAACTAAAGCTATTTATAAACAGACTAAGTTGGATGTTGGGATACTACTGCTAAAGTATTATTGTGCATTGTTCCTGAATTAAGTAGTATATTTAATTCTACTACATGAGTCCAAAAAACTATTAAAAAATCAGAGATCTTGCCAGGAATATTATGTACCCTTTCTACCCATTTACTTGAAGCATTTAGGGAAGAATACACCCACTTACAACAAAGACAACCACTGTATGCATAAAAAAACAAACAAACAAAACCACAAGTTAGAAGCCTAGCAAGTATGAGGAACACTAGAATATACCATCATAAGGGCGGGGATTTTTGTCTATGTAGTTTTTTGTTGTCTTTGCAGCATCTAGACCAGTGGTTCTCAACCTGTGGGTCATGACCCCTTTGGCGGTCAAACGACCTTTTCACAGGGGTCACCTAAGACCATCCTGCTTATCAGATATTTACATTACGATTCATAACAGTAGCAACATTACAGTTATGAAGTAGCAACGAAAATAATTTTATGGTTGGGTCACAACATGAGGAACTGTATTTAAAGGGCCAGAAGGTTGAGAACCATTGATCTAGACCAGGGGTGGGCAAACTTTTTGACTCGAGGGCCACAATGGGTTCTTAAACTGGACCGGAGGGCCGGAACAAAAGCATGGATGGAGTGTTTGTGTGAACTAATATAAATTCAAAGTAAACATCATTACATAAAAGGGTACGGTCTTTTTTTTTTTTTTTTAGTTTTATTCATTTCAAAGGGGCCGGATCCGGCCTGCGGGCCGTAGTTTGCCCACGGCTGATCTAGACCCATACCTAGCACAAAGTAGTTGCTCACTAAATACTTACTGAGTGAACTATTCTTTGAAGAAATTATTTTGGATAACCAAAACAAAATTATTGTCAATGTTGATGGTTTTCTTAAGACTTAGAAGAATTCTATTCTTTTACATTTTTCCCAACTACTCTTATGGAAGAATACCTCAAAACAAAAGAATGTTTCTTTTAAGAAATATTACAGTATAAGATTATAATGCCCTAATTAAGTGAAAAACAGATAGTCTTGGGAAAAAATTTTCTATAAAACACTGTTTCAATATAATTTTATTAGCAGTTATTATGTCAAAATTCACATTTACAAGATCCAAAGGACTGCCTTAGAAGTTTCTAAGGAATTAGATTTTAACAGTAAGATAGAACATATTCATTTTATAGTACAGCCCTTAAAAAGTCAAGAATAATACTTAGAATTAATTATAGTTCTGTCAAACTAGAAATGAATTCTACATGCAGAATGCCATTTAAAGCAAAGTTCCATGAATGTATAACATATTTCTATGGATGTAAGTTTTAGTGGCAAACATCATTGGCTTCTTCCAAACAACTGACACTAAAGGAATTTTCAATCAAAACATAGGTGCAGTGGTGTTCATTAAATATAGAGATATGATAATTCTATAAAGAGACCCTGAATCCTTAAGTATTTGTAATATGACTTTATGCTGTGACACCAGTACAAAACACATCAACTCTAATGCATAGATTCTGACACATTATGACAATAGGATACTAAAGATAGCTTTGTTCTATCAGAAAATGCTGAGTTTTCCAGTGCAGTATATGCTGGTCACTGCTGATCTACTGCAATTCTACATCCTCCAGCCTGAGCAGTATTGTAGGATTCACAAATGTTACACTTCATGCCTAATATATGGAACTGGACTGTAGATCTTCCATTGCAATCATTGCAGAGAATCTAAAAAGTGAAGAGATAAATTCAAATTAAGAATATTAAACCTTAGAGATATAAAGTAACATTGCTCAAAACATTTCCTCAGAAATCATACTGAAGATGTAAAAACATCTAAACATTTTCATAAGTAGAAATGCCCTATTTTTTGTTCACTGAAAACTCTAAAAGGCTACTTTGAATTCAGAAAATGAAAATGTGGATTTGCGCCAAGAAGTCTATTTTAAAATAGCTCCCGAGTGGTATAAATAGTACTAGCATGAAAAGTAACATAGGCACTATCAGATCAACACCTATACAGGTACTCCTCGACTTATAATGGGGTTACATTCTGATAAACCCATTGTAAGTTAATACTGTAAATTGAAATACAACTACTGGACATCATAGGTTAGCCTGGGCGGTTTCTACTGAATGTGTATTGCTTTTGCACCACCATAAAGTTGGAAAACCATAAATCAAACCACCACAAGTCCAGGACCATCTGTACTTACAATTCAAAATAACATACATGATTTCATTATTTTCATTAACACTTAGAAAATTGTTATTTAATAAGACAAATTGTTACATACTTATCATGACATTTTTGCTTATTCTCTAGGTTTTTTGTTTTGGCAGTGGAGAAATTAGAATCGCTTTACTGCTAACACTAAACAAGAAGAATGGGAAAGCTATTGCTCAAAAGCCCAAACTCCTTGATGGCTTATACAGAGGATTTTAAGGAGTTAGGGGAAACAAGTATTTGGAAGTGCTGGTGGGGTGAGTTTTAAATGGGGAAACTTGGAGATTGACTATTTATGTTTAAGGAACTTCTTCAACACCAGGTCTTCCTGGACAACAGACCCTCCACTTACTTTTTTTTATGTTTACTGTACTAAATTCCTAATCTTCAATGCCTCAGGAATGAATTAAAGTTCAAAAGTAGTTCTAAAATTGAACAAAGAGAAGCTTTTGGCTCATCCCTAAAATGTCAATAAGACGCCATTTAGGAATTAATCTTTTCTAGTACTAAGACCTTGAAAAATCAAAAAGGTGTTACCCTGAAAATTTATCAATACTATGTGAGAAAAGCATTAGTTTTAAAAAAGTCACACCATAATAAGAAGACTCAAAAATTTTCTCTAAATTATAATTTGGAAAATACTTCTCTTATGAATATGATCTAAATGTAGAGAATAGATTAGTAGTTGCCTACAGCTAGTGAATTGGGAATGACTGCTAATGGGTACCAGGCTTCTTTTTGGAATGATGAAAATATCCTAAAATTGATGGTGATGATGTCTATACAACCCCAAGAATATAATAAAAAGCACTGAATTGTATACTTTAAATGGATGAGTTGTATGGTATGTGAATTATATCTTATTAAAGCTGTTATTTTAAAAAATCGTCCACATGGAATATCGCACACTGCAGCCTATAGTAAAGCATCATGTGATTATCAGTTTAGTATTCCAAAAGTGATCACTGACTTTACGAACAATTCAATTATCCACATGAATTATAAAATGCTCGTGTGAATAAAACAAAAAATAATTTTTATTTGGCTTTCATAAGTGGTTCTGATCCTTTTGTGTAGAAGTACCTAAACTAAACTAATGATGTTTAGAAAATTTAAATGTCCAAAAATTATTAAAGCACCAGAAAGCTATTTAGAATTCTAATTCTGACCTGTAATTCAATAGACTATGCTGAGAATAGACAGCACCACACCTCAATTAATGGAGAAAAGATGATCATTCTCTATAAGGCAAACGGCACAGAAATACTTCTTATATTTTAGGTTACAGGCTAATAAGACCAAATATTAAAAGTCTAAGTAAGATAGAATAGGTAATAAACATTAAAAACAAAAAAGATGATCCTCGAAAATCAGCAAACATGTTTGCTTGAAATCAACTTAAAATAATTGAAAATAAAACATCAAACTAGTAATTCACCTCTACTCAGGTACATTACTGATTCTGGCAAGTAATGTGTAAACAGTTCAGAGTAAAGTTTGTGCCTGCCACCTAGTGTTGGGAAGAATTGCACAAAGGTATTCTTAGAACTTTTTTTTCCTGGTCTTTTAAGTTCAAAGTAACTAAAATTTAAAGATCGTTCTGTCTGTTCTTCCTATTAGATCATCCTATTGGCATCTATACCAAAGCAGTATTTTTTAGAAAGATTTGATCAAAATGACAAAAATAAAAAGGAACATCAACAAAAACTTTGGAAAGTTTTCAGCACTGATTCTACTCACATCTACAGTCATGTTCTGATATTCAGATGGCATCGGAGTCTGTGCTACTTCATCATCCAGCTGTCTCCAGTACCTTGTCATATCTAAAGCAGAGTGCATACATAATGGACATCTGTAGCCTCTAGAAAAGACAGAAAGGTTATTTTCCAAATACTAAAGTAGAAGCATATCAACTCAAGTATAGAAGATACATGCTAACTGATACATAAACCATCCAAGACAGGGCATTAATCTATATTTCAAGACAATCTGTTACAAACCTGGGAACTTTTATACTATGAAAGTTTTCAATTAAACTTGAATCATATGGCATCTTTTAAACCTACTTCTTTCTTCTCAGTTCTCTAAAATGGATAGGAATTAGTCCCTAGTATTTGTAGAATATACTTAATATATTTTAAAAACCAATTTAAGCTGCTTTTTAGTTAAACAACCTCAATTTCTGAATATATTTAAGTAAAGAAGACACTGTATTCCTTAAAACTTATTCAGATATTATTTCCTAAAAATTCTGAAAAAGTTTCCTTCTATCTGGCTATTATAAATTAAAAGTTCTGCTCATCAATTTGCAGAAACAAAATACATTTTACACAGTCACCTCATTCCTAATTATTATCTCAATTTCACATCCTTCCCCCACAATAAAGTCTCAGCTTTAGATAATCTTGCTACCAGCTTTCTCATTATACTGGGACAACATAATGACTTAACAGAATTTTGAGCAACATGCCTTAGAACTTTCACAAAGCTATGACTGCCTCTGTCTGAGACGATGCTCCCTGGTGAGTGTATCCAGGAAATCAGAGGTAACTGTCTCCATTTGTAGGATGAGATAAGGCATCTTGCATGGGGACCAAGATATAGTCCTACACCCCCCAAAGATGCTTTCCCAGTTTAACACTAGTCACTTACCCTACCCATCTGAAGATAAATATGTCATGCCCAATATACTAATAGCAATGAAAAAGAAGAAAACAAAAAATCCAGACATCTTACAATTGTAACATTTTAAATGTCAAACACTCACTCTTTCAACATTTCTTCATAACATGTTCTGGGGAAAAAAACAAAAAAAAATACAACACATTATTTTAGTAAAACAAAAACTATTTCCAACACCTTTTGAGAAAAAAAAAATTACTTTACCTATGTAAAAGATGTCCACATGGCAAGACATGGGCAACAACACGAGATGTGTGAATGTCCTGTGAAAAGAAATAAATGTTACTGCTTACATGAAGACAATATAAACAGCCAAGTATTTTAAAATCAAGAGGGGATATTTCCAAAGCAAAAAATATTGTAAGCTTACCTCCAAACATATTGGACAATTCTGCCGGGAAACATTTTCAATACACTGTTTAAAAGAGAAATTCCAATTACTAAAAGCTTAACTAGATAGAAATAGCAGATATAGTAATATTATTAATGATAAAAACTAACAAATAAAGGAAACAAAACCAATTTATTAAAGATAATAATTACAGTCCAGCTGGTGTGGTCCAGTGGTTGAAGGTCAGTCCATGAAACAGGAGGTCATAGTTTGATTTCTGGTCAGGGTACATGCCCAAGTTTCAGGCTCAATCCCCAGCAGGGGTCATGCAGGAGACAGCTGATCAATGATTCTCTCCCATCACTGATCTATCTCTCTCTCCCTCTCTCTCTCTCCCTGTCCCTTCCTCTCCCTGAAATCAGTAAAGACATATTTAAAAAAAAAAAAGATAATAATTAACATTAATACATGTTTCCTATGTCAGGGAAGAACAATTTAACTCTCACAACTATTTCAGGCTTTGCAATATTACCTAAAATAATGAAATTGCTTAATATATCTGAATTATTCAAATTCTATTCATTTTACAAGTAAGATAATTTAGTGAGTCAAGACTTACCAAAATTGCAACAATAACAATCTGAATTATTCAAATTCTATTCATTTTACAAGGTAATTTAGTGAGTCAAGACTTATCAAAATTGCAACGATAACGTTTGGAACTTTTCTGTTTTATATGTGTTTTACTCCAAAGCTAAACTGCTTAATAATATTGATAATAACAGTTCATATTATCAAGATTTTATCACATGCCACATGCCAAGTTCATTACCTGTACTAGTCTAATTCTCACAACTCTAAATAAAACACATATAATTATTACCCCATTTTAAAGATGTGGTACCTGAGGCCTAGAAAGCTAAATAACTTCTGAAATTGTGGGGAAGCATGGGACTTGGTTGAAAAGTCTATAAGGAGGATTTTCTGAAAGATCAGAGGCTTCTGGGGGACCTTGCCGTAGGTGGCAGACCCTGCCTTGACTTTTCCAAACAAGTCTGAGCCCCAGGTGTTTTGCTACAATATTTATGCTTAGACTTCAAAACATCCTTGCTTAAAGGATACATATGCTTTCTCAAGGATGCTTACCCAGCTGATAGTATCTAATAGTTAATTTTCATTCAAGCTGTTGTGACAATAAAAGCCTAAGGAAGCAGGCAATCAGGGCTTTTTGGCTCCTTATGCCAACTAGCCCCTTAGCCTCTCTTTCACAAAAATATGTGCCTGTAATCACCTGTTGTTCAGTGTCTGACAGTCAGCCCCAGCAGAAATTGCATCTTGTAAGAGATAGAACAATATCTGAGCTCCAACAGGATACCTCCAGGGTATGAGTTCTTAATGTGACAAGACAGTGTCCAATTAGATATGGGAAGGTAAAGGAAAGTACCAAACCATGGATAATGACCAGATTTTTAAAGAAAGCACTCAAGTAGCCCTAGCCAGTTTGGCTCAGTGGACAGAGCGTCGGCCTGCGGACTGAAGGGTCCCAGGTTCGATTCCAGTCAAGGGCATGTACCTTTGTTGTGGGCACATCCCCAGTGGGGGATGTGCAGGAGGCAGCTAATTGATGTTCCTTTCATCAATGTTTCAAACACTCTATCCCTCCTCCCCCTTTCCCTTCCTCTCTATAAAAAAAATCAATAAAATATTTTTTTTAAAAAAAGAAAGCACTTAAGTAGATGGCAGGACTATTTACTAATACAAACAATAAAAGAAAACTGAGAAACAAAATAAAAATATCCTAAGATAAATGTGTACATTTTTGAAAGACAACATAGCATATCTTGCTATCAAACACAAGTCTATACAACCAAATTCAACCATTTTACTTGAAACAAATTCACAATCCATTAAACAAGTACCATAAGCCGGGCTAAAAATCTTGAGGGTCATCTTTACTCTCAGCTTTATTCTTTCTCGCTTATGCCCTGTCAGCATATCCCACATACTAGTATTCATTATTCACTTCAACTTCTCTTATCACTTTACTATTTTAGGTCAGTTATTATCTAATATCTATTTTTAAAAACCCTCACTAGTTTCTCCATTCCCTAAATTCTTATATTAGATAGAATTAGTACTATTAATGGTAGTTTATTACTTTTTTTCTAAATAATGAAAAATAATTTTAAGGGCCTAGGATCATGATATAATTACTACATCAAGATTAAAAAATATTTGTCTAATTATTAAAGAAAATATAAGATTATTTCCTGAATTTTCTTGGAATGCTGTGTGCTAACAGGTCACACTGCTTCATATTTCTCCTGTACTTCACATTTTAAAAGCTTCTTAAAACTAACACCAATGATAAAAATTCATAAACCAATTTAGAAGTTGTCAACAATATACTAATAACTGATATAAGTATTCTTACATACTACAAAGAAAAGGAATAGACCAGGTATTCTCAAGCACATTATTTAGAACACTTACTCTTTTACACTGCTTAAAAATAAAAAGCAACATAGCTATACTTAGTAACACTGAAAAATCCCACACTTCCAAACATATTAAGGTTTAAGCTAGTTTTCAAAAAACTGTTAATACTTTTAAAAGTATGCATACTGATACCTTGTGCTTTCCTTGGAGATTCATAGCTAGGCATAAGTTACATTTCAAACAGTGGAAAAAATCTTCCTTTGGACCTATCCTGAAAGAAAAAGGCAAAGGCAAAAGATTAGATTTGTTTTTACTACAGTGATAATTTGTTCATCATAACACAGAGTGAGATAGCAGCATTCTAGACTAGGGTTTCTCCACCTAGGTTTATTGACATTTGGAGCCAGATCATTATTTTTGGTGGAGAACTATCTTGTGCACTATAGGATGCTTAGCAGTATCTCTGGCCTATAACCAGTAGATGCCAGTAGCAGACTACTTTCCTTCCCAACGCAGCTGTAACAACCAAAAATGTCCCCAAATATGCCTGGGAGGGGAGGAATCATCCCTTGTTGAAAACCTCTTTTATGATGTTTGTACACCAAAATTTACCAAAATTTACTTGGAAGTGGACAAAA